CCACTTGCTGGGGGATGGACTTGTCTCTTCAGCTTCCGTGTAGCACTGCTGTGGGAAGCTCGATGACTTTTTAGAAGCCTTGGTCCATGCCCTCTGTAGATTGAGGATGATGTTAATTTGGAGCTGAGTGTATGGAAAGTCCCCTTACTGATCAAGCACAGCCTTTCTAGAATTTATGTTTTAAAAATATATATTTTTATATTGATTTCAGAGAGAGGAAGGGAGAGGGAGAGAGAGAAATATCAATGATGAGAGAGAATCATTGATCGGCTGCCTCCTGCATGCCCACAACCCGGGCTTATGCCCTGATGGGGAATCCAACCCTGACCTCCTGGTTCATGAGTCGGCACCAACCACTGAACATGCTGGCCGGGCAATTCCTGAAGGGCTGAAAGGACTTCAGGAGCTTGTACTGCTGATTCTCCATTCTGGGGATTCTAGCCTTAAGATGCACCCATCCTTAGCTCCTGAAGGTCAAGGATTCATTTCCGGCCTCCTTTGTGCAGGCTCAGATGTGACCGTCCAGCTGGACACAGCGGAGCTCAGCCTCACATTCCAGCTACCCTTTGGTTCACACACCAGGATGTTCCTGCAGGAAGTTGCCAGGGCCTGTCCAGGTAGGTAAGACCCAGGCTCTGTTGGGGGGCTGGCTGGTTACTAATCTACCCACTACCAGTTGACTTTCCACACTCTGGACTCTCACCCCCGTTTCTGTGCCCTCTCATGTGGGCTGTCATCTGGCCACAGTGCCTCCAGGCCCCCAGCCAACCATGGTGTTTGCTTTTCACGTTTCCTATTTCTGGACCTGAGGTTTTGTGTGTGTGTGTGTGTGTGTGTGTGTGTTTTTAAATATATTTTATTGATTTTTTACAGAGAGGAAGGGAGAGGGATAGAGAGAAACATCGATGAGAGAGAAACATCGATCAGCTGCTTCCTGCACACTCCCTACTGGGGATGTGCCCACAACCAAGGTACATGCCCTTGACCGGAATCAAACCTGGGACCCTTCAGTCCGCAGGCCGGCGCTCTATCCACTGAGCCAAACCGGTCAGGACTGGACCTGAGTTTTAACTCCAGCAGGGCCCCTTTGTCCTCCTGGCTGTGGGCAGGGCTGCACAGGGTGGGTTGTGATTCTGATGCAGAATCCTTTTCAAGTTGGCTGGGTCAACAGCTTCTAGAAGCCCATCTTCCCTCTCTGCCGGCCACAGCCAGAAACCCAGGGAAGTCTGACATATGAGCCCTCCTGCCCTTGAACCTGGCTCTGTTCCCCACCACAGCTGAGAAAATGACCTAGCTTTGGCGTAGCAGGGAGAGATTAGTGGCCTTGAGGGCAGAATTTGTTTAGACCAGGAAATCAGCCAGGCAGATTTGTAAAGAAGAGTTTATATAGAGCAGAGGCTCAGCCACAGAACATGCAAATTTGAGCCACCAGGTGCTGTGGCTTAGGTGTCCACCCAACACTATTACTTGCTTCCTTTCAGACTAACATCTTGTCTCTGCAGGAATGGGGGATGGGCTTCCCTTCTATCATCATTTTACCATGGAGCATGACCATGGGGCGGGGGGCGGGGGTGCCAGGAAGGAGGCTGGCTTTGGATTCAAAGTGGGGTATGGAGGGAAGAAAAACACAATTATAGAGCCCTGAATGTCTGGCTCAGGGGTTTAAAGTTTATTCTATAAGCAAGGGGAAATTTATCTCCAAGCCTTCAACTAACAAGAATAACATATTTTAAAAAAAATATATTTAATTGATTTTTTACAGAGAGGAAGGGAGAGGGATAGAGAGTTAGAAACATCCATCAGCTGCCTCCTGCACAACCCCCACTGGGGATGTGCCCGCAACCAAGATACATGCCCTTGACCGGAATTGAACCTGGGACCCTTCAGTCCACAGGCTGACGCTCTATCCACTGAGCCAAACCGGTCAGGGCAAGAATAACGTATTTTATAATTATTATTGGTATTTGTAGGAGGGCTAATAATAGTAATAACAGCAAAGCACATGGACTTTGAAGCTACACAGCGTCTTGCATTTGAAACCTATCTTTGCTGCTCCCTGGCTGTGTGACTTTGGGCAAACCACCTTACCTCTCTGAACCTTGGTTTTGTCGACTTCTATATATAAATAATATCTTCCTTGTGGAGCTGTGAGAATTAATGAGATAACACATATGAAAGGGCTCAGCACATAATAGGAGCTCAGAAATGTTTCCTCCTTCTGTACAAGAGGGCTCATAACTTCACTGTTGACTTGTGTGTTAGACACTGCTCTAAGAACTTTTCGCACATTATGTCACTTTCTTTACTACCACCTTACGAGGTATTATCAATGTCTCTGTTTTACAAATGAAGAAACTGAGGTTGAGAGAGGGTCAGGGCCTTGCTGGTAAACTACGAGCCAGGATTAGACAGGATTAGCTAGTCTCTTCCAAAATCTGAGCTCTTGAGTTTTGCTGTAATGCTTCCTAAACTCATGCCACCCTGTACCAGGTACACGACTCAGAGAAGGCTTTGTGTAGGAGGTGATATTTAAGCTGAAACTTCAAGCTTGAATGAGTTTTCCCAGGCAGGCAACAAGGAGAGGCAGTTAGAGGGAAGAGCAGGTCATTTGGTGGAAGGAGGGTGTGGAGAGAGCTAAGTCAAGAGAAGCCAGTAGAGGCAGCTCATGAAGGATCATAAATAACCAGCAAGGAGCTTGCACTTTGCCCGGTAGCTTGTGGGGAGCTATAGGAGTCCAGAGACATTAACCCTTGGAATGACAAGGCAGAATTTGCATGTTAGACAAGTTCCTCTGGCAGCTGGTGCGGAAGCGGGGAGCCTAAAGCAGGGAGAGCAATGGGAATGTGTTGCAGTGCTCAGGCCTTAGAAATATGAGGCTTGGATCAGGTTCTGGTAATGGCGATGGGGAAGAGAGGACAGGCTGGAGAGATCCTACAGATGAGAATGAAGGCACCCTGGAGGCAATGAGTGTGGGTGTTCACAAAGTGTTCATAACTTTAGCCCCAGTGCTTAGAACAGTGCCTGGCACTTAATGAATGTGTTAAATGGACGAACAGAGGTTGGAACCTGGCTGGCTGTGAGAATGAAGGAGAGGAGTTGAGGATGACTTCCTCTTTTAAGCTTAAGTATCTGCCTGTCAATCCCTTTACCTGCTTTCCCTTCTGGGTTCCACATCTGGGGTAATCAACAGGGAAACTATACTAACTCAATTTCATTGAGCAGTTGTCAGAGGGGGCCTGCGTGAGATGGGACTCTCAGAGATGACAGGCTCTTGGATATCCATCAGCCCAGTTCTTGGCATTTTACGGATAAAGGGACTGAAGTCCAGAATAAGGTTACAGGTAAAAGTCCAGAATAAGGTTACAGATAAAAAGCCCTGGGTGGATAATGTGCAGCACAAAAAGTGCCTTGGTCACTAGGTGACAGAGAAAAGAATTAGCTAACATTAATTGAGCATCTATGTGCCAGACATTCTTCTAGACCAGTGGTCAGCAAACCGCGGCTCGCAAGCCACATGCGGCTCTTTGGCCCCTTGAGTGTGGCTCTTCCACAAAATACCGACTTCTGTGCATGGGCCATGAAGTTTCAATCGCACTGTACATGCGCGCCCGCACATGCTATTTTGTGGAAGAGCCACACTCA